CATAAAAAAAAAAGTAACCATCAGTTGGGACAGTGGTGGTGCACGCCTTTAATCCCAGCACTCGGGAGGCAGAGGCAGGCGGATCTCTGTGAGTTCGAGGCCAGCCTGGTCTACAGAACGAGTTCCAGGACAGCCTCCAAAACAATACAGAGAAACCTTGTCTCGAAAAACAAACAAAAACAAACAAACAAAAACCCATCAAGCTAGGTGTGTGGTACATGCTTTGATCCCAGCACTCAGAGGCAAAGGCAGGTGGATCTCTGTGAGTTTGATGCTAGCCTGGTCTACATAGAGAATTTCAGGTCAGCCAGAGCTGTTCCATATAACAAAACAAAATTCACCAAACAAACAAAAGTATCAAACAGAAAACATCAACTGAGGGTGTCAGTGGAAACCCGGCGCAGACTGACTTCAGGAGTCTGATGCCAGGTGGTTCGTTGCGTCATATTTAAAACACAGTACAATTTGGGAAAAGGTTTCCAAGAAAGAATCAGTTCGATTGCTCCCATTCCAGGAGCACAATAAAGCTTAAGGTGTGACTTAGAACTCCTTACAACGTGCATGTGACCATGAGGGTGGGTTCCGCAGCTCAAAGGCCTAGGGTCTGGTGTGGTCTCTGAGATAGCATAGACACATAACACACATGTGACAGCTTCCTAAGGACAGGAAGAGTCTGGGGTAATCATTCTGCAGACTTTGGATGAGGTCTGCCTCTCAAGTAAGAGGTGGGTGAGGTATGCCGCCACAGATAGCAAAAAGGTCACCAGGTCATTACCGACATCCACTCCTAGCCTTCTGGGCAGAGAGGTCCTCGTATGTTTTAACATTCCTGGTTTCCCTAGTGATCTGTGGGTGCAGGGACCTTTGCACCCCCAACAATCAACCGGAAGATGTGAGCTTGACACCAAATTCAGAACACGATACTGAAGGTCCACCTCGCAGAAGGGGAGAACAACTGAAAGCTGTCCTCTGACCTCCATAGCACGCGACATGGCATGAATTCGTGCATGAACACACATGCCCGCGTGCGCGCACACACAAATATATATGTAAATGAAGCAGGAAGCAAGCCAATAGAAGCTGAGTTTCCTGTAAATAAACCTCCCATAATACTGTCAAGAGCTGCTGTGCTAACCAAACTCATCACTAAGGGACTTCCAGCGCAGCAGGCACCCCCGGCTACTGAGACACCGAGGACTGCAGTGCCAACATCTGTAGGTTCCTGGCTGTCATCTATACAGGCATGATGCCCATGATCATATGTATAGAAAACCAGATCAGACAGGCAGTCTGTCTGAGATTCCTGATCTCCAGTTCAGCGTCTTCACCTTGGTCTGGGGGGATGTGACTACTACATACACATGTACAGGCAGGTTGGGCTAGGGCTCGCCTGAGCCAGAGTGCCTGCCCAGCATGCAGGAAGCCCTGGGCTTCATCTCCAGCACTGAATAAACTGGGCATGATGGGGCATGCCTATCATCCCAGCATGTGGGAAGCAGAGGCAGGAGGATCAGAGGCTAAAGGTCATCCTTGGCTGCATAATGAGTTTGAGACCAGCCTGAGCTACATGAGACCCTGTTTCAAAACCATCAACATCACAGGAGGCCTGGTGCCTGCGTCTGGCTGAGTGGGAGGCAGCTAGAAGGCACGAAAGGGGGAGAAACCCCAGGGTGGGGCAGCACCAAAAATGCTGTGCTGAGTGTTTCCTGGGCTCTTCTCTTTAGAGAGCGCATTCTCTCTGGCAAGCTGGTGCGCAGAGCCGAGAAGCGGCTGAAGGAGGTGGTTCTTCAGGTGGACGAAGAGCGCAGGGTGGCTGACCAGCTCCGGGACCAGGTGAGCAGCTGACATCACCACAAACAGTGGGAAGTGGGATGGTGGCCACGCCTTTAATCCCAGCACTCGGGAGGCAGAGGCAGGAGGATCTCTGTGAGTTCCAGACCAACCTGGTCTACGAGTTCCAGACCAACCTGGTTTACAAGAGCTAGTTCCAGGTCAGCCTCCAAGCCACAGAGAAACCCTGTCTCGCACCCCCCCCCAAAAAAAGCCCAAGAAAATAACCCTGCTAGCCTGGCCTAGCAGGTGACTCAGTGGTTCATTTCAGCTATGGTGGAAGCAAAGACAGGAGGATTGCTAAGTTTCAGGAGAGCCTGTGTTACAGTGAGAGACCCCTTCTCAAATGAATATCAACAATGAAAAATGTCTGTAGGTCACAGCCTGTATGTGACTCCAGGTGGAGTCCCTGTGTCCTTAAAAGCTCAGCTGTGCCTTGTCTGCTATTCATTCCACAAATGATTATTGAGCACTACCTTTGTGCCAGGCACATTGCTAGGCGTTATAAGTAAGGTGCTGGGAAGGTTCTAGAAGGTCCTGGCCTTCACAGGGCTCACATTACCAGCCTAGGAAAGGCATTATACACACACCAAACAAAGATAATGCCAGACTCTGGTGAAGGCTGTGAAAGAAAAGAATGAAGATATAGGAATGGAGAGCCTTGCCCAGGTTGGGTTTTGGAAAGGGTTATGGAGGTGACATTTGAGGTGACATGGGGGTGACGGGAGGAACAGTCAGGTGGAAAGAGCAGGAGGTTCAAAGGTCCTGAAGAAATGAAGCAAGCAGAATGAATCAGTATAGCTCGAAGATGGGAATGTGGCTCAGTTGGATACAGTGCTTACCTAACATGCTCAAGAGCACTGCACTTGGGAGATGAAGGCAGGGCCAACAGAAGGTTAAGGTCATCTTTAGTTACATACTGAGTTCCATGAGACAAATGAAGTCACATGATATGTGTTTTTTCCCTGGAGAAAGGTGGCAGTGTCTGGGGAGATCAGGGTGAGTTTGGTGTGGTCACTGGGTTCCTCAGAGACATGGACATGAGGACATTTATGTTAGGGCCAGCCCCTACCCAGCAGTCTGGGGAGCCAAAGGAGGTCTGTGAGGGGGAGGGACCCTGCAATGCTGTCAACAAGACTTCCAAGGAGCCACATATTTATACCAGACAGGGCACTGACTAATTCCACTAGGCCAGCTTGGTAAGCCAGTGAGTGTATGGGTGACTCAAAGACAGGTGCATCACCAGGAAACCTGGCCCCCACATGAGTGATGGACTCACGAACGCCACAGCCCAGAGGCTCACCCCTGTCTGTCGTCCTGCCTTCCACATGCTCTTGCGGGTATCCCGCAGACCACAGGCAATGAGTGGGGGGCAGATTTCACGGGGGTCAGCAGTTTTCTGCTCCATGGATTGCTAAGCGCCTGGTCTCAGTTGTCCAACACCCAGATGTCTTCTGCATATTTTGTTGCCATGACTGAAGATCTCAGGAGGTCACCACAGCTGCTCTGGGCACTGGGGGACACCATGAGAATGACCTGGTCCCCCCTTTCCACTCAGCTGGAAAAAGGCAACCTCCGGCTGAAGCAGCTCAAGCGACAGCTGGAGGAAGCAGAGGAGGAGGCATCGCGGGCACAGGCCGGTCGGCGGCGCCTGCAACGGGAGCTGGAGGACGTCACAGAGTCTGCCGAGTCCATGAACCGGGAGGTGACCACGCTGAGGAACAGGCTCCGGTAAGCCACCCGCACGCTGGTGTCACCCAGAAGAGGAGGCCTGGCCTGGATGGCCAGCGTGCGGGTGAGACCCTGAGTGATAAGGAGGCTGCAGAGGCTGCGGCTTGCTCAGGGGCCATCTGCACCCATGGGACCATTTACAAGCCTTTGACCTCAGCTTCTTGTCCCCGCCCTCTGCGTCTGTGTTCTCATTTTCGTCTCCCGTCGTCATTTGTGCATTCCTCTCCCACAGGCGGGGCCCACTCACCTTCACCACACGCACAGTGCGTCAGGTGTTCAGGCTGGAGGAAGGCGTGGCTTCTGACGAGGAGGAAGCTGAGGGGGCGGAGCCTGGACCCGCACCACCCCAGGAACCTGAGGCTCCGCCCCTTGCCACACCCCAGTGACCCAACCTGTCCTGGATGCCCCAAGGACAGAGCCTGTCCCTGTGTCCCTCCTGGCTTGCACTTTGAAATGATGCTGCCCTCTGGCACTTTCTGACATTGAAAAACCCTACCGGAACCCGGAACCCATGCCCACTGGGGACTCCGAATCAAGGCCCTAAACCAAGGAGCTTGGTTGCAGGGAGGCAAGGATGGCCACTCGTGTTAAGGGGACAGAATGAGCATGGGTGGGAAGCATATCTTGTCAGCTCCCGTTTTTCAGCAGGCCTGTCCCCCGCAGAAGGCAGGCAGGGGACCTCCACTCTCTGCCCGTGTCCTGCCCTCTTGTGTGTGGGGAGGTCTATGTGCATGCTCCAGGCACGGAAGAAATAAACTGCACCTGACTGGATCCCTCACCGTGGCTGTGTTCCTGATTGGGGACCAGAGTGTGAGGGGCTTTCCCGGCTGCTGTAGTATGTGAGGTCCTTTCTAGGGACTGGGCATTTACTGTGCAATAAGAAGTCAAGGCGTCCTACTATAGACTAGGCAAGCCACTGTCTCCTCAGCGCCTTCGTGCAGTTACTGAGGCAGTAAAGCACATCTTTCTGGCCCTTTCAAAGTGTTAGGAACAGATTGAACCACTAGCCTCAGGGCACCCAAACCCCACACAGTCTGGTTCAGGGCTGGCAATCCACAGGTGACGACAGTTTTCATAGGCACCTTGCATACCCAGGACACTTACTTGTCCTTGGGTTCTAGGACTCAATCAAGTCCACAGACTTGCTGTTCTCATATATTCTAGTTAGGAAGGCTGTTCATGCTTGTCGTCAAGGAAACCAAGATAGGCACTTGCTCCAGTGCCCAAAGAGGCCAAAAGATCAGGTCCCATGGGGGATTCTAGGTAGGGCACCACCACTGAGCCACATTCCAGCCCTTTACTGGGGGATTCTGGGAAACTCTGCTATCTTTTTCCGTTGTTACCAGCTGTATTACCTCTACCCCTTGAGAGAGATGACAGGCCTGCACCACCCAGCCCATCTCCCACCTGTGACCCCAAACCAAATCAAAAGCCACTTCTAAATGAAAAGGAATCATTTATTGGGCCGGGGAGGGACATGACACTGTTTCTTTGTGGGGGAGGACTGACATGCGGCAGCTTCTGCGTGGGTGGTTCATGCACCCTGGATGGGCGTGGGGGAGGCTTGGGGGAGGAGCCTGCCGACCCCTCCCTGCCTGCCTGCGGGTGGACCAGGAAGACCCGCCTGTTAGCACCAGAGTTGCAGACCTCCCCTCCCCCAGACTCAGGACCCGCCCCCATCCCTGAGAGCGCCCCTTGGCCAGCCCCTCCCGCGCCGGGCCAGGCCAGGCCCGTCCGCCCACTAGAAGTAGAGAAACTTATTGCTGTGAGTGTGTGGGGAAGGAGGGGAGCTGCTGAGCTCAGGAAGACCTCCTTGCCCCCTGCCAATCATTCCTCCCCACCGCCCCGCCCCCAGCCCGTGCGTCCCCCCCACTAGCGCAGGAGGGATGCGCGACGCATGCGTGTGGGGGGGCGCGTCATGCAGCGCATGCGTGCAGTTGCAGGCACCCTGGCGGCCGAGGGGAAAAGGGAGACCAGGACCTGGCTCTCCCTCCCCGAACCCCACACTGTTTGGTAAATTGGGAGATATGAAGGGGGCAAAAAAATCACGTTTTGTAGACATTTATAACGATGGCAGCTTTTTAAAAAAAAGCTTAACTAAAAAGCTGGATACGTGTGGGAAACTGGAGCGCAGGGGAGACAGCGGGAAGTGGTACCCTCAAAAAGGACTCTTGCCCCCTTTCTCCGCCCCATCTGCCTCTTTTGAGGGATGGGGGTAATAGGGGCTGTTTAAAGTTAAACCCTTTGGCATACACTGATGTCTGGAGTCCCCTAGCCCTTTGCCCTGCCCCTATCAGATCCCACCCCACCCCTCAACCCCTGTCTCAGCAGGGCTTAAAGTCCCAAGGGAAGGCTGGAGGTGGGCGGGGGGACTCAAAATGTCCCTTGCATAGGAATCGTTGCATCAAGAATTGGGCCCAAGGACTCTCTCACCGACACGCTGGTGGCAGCGGGAGGGCTCCCTGAGGCTGTGGGAACAAGGGAGAGATTGCTAATTTTGCTGACCACCCTGCTCCAAAGGGGTTTGTTTGGGGTTCTGGAACCAGTGTGGTCTCTGGGCTTGGGGGAGGTAGCATACTGGAGCCAAGATGGGATTTGGAAAAGTTTTCCACCGCGAACGTGGTGGGCAAGGAACGCTGGGAAGGGCCCACCTCGCGGGCCACAGCTCCTATGACCACTTTGGGGCTGTTTTAGGGGAAGAGGGGCTGCCGGAGATTGAACCCCGGGACCTTAGCACATTAGGCAAGCTGTGTGCTTGACTGTCCTTGACTTGCTTTCAATGTGAACACTCAGCTGTGCGCTGCCGGGCGCACCAGCCAGGTGTGCACTCGAGCCTGGAGCATACACGTTTGAAACACTTGGTCGTTTGTGTACTCTGCAAACTACAGCACACGAGGGAACAGGGGTCCCACGCTCTGGGAAACTCTGCTTTGGCACCATCTCGGTGGAAAGGGCTTTGAGGGGGGTTTGCCTAGACAGAGATGCTGGACGGGGTGGGAGCTCCCTGGAATCAGACAGGCGGAGCCCGTCGGGGAAGGCCTTGCATCAGAGGCACCTGGGACTGGGAAGTGTGACATCAGGGGGCCAGGGCTGTCTGGGTTGGGGGAGCGTGAATGGATATGGGTGTGTCTGGGCAATGTCTGGGTGGTCATGAGGACGGTTAGGCCCTGGAGTCTGGAAGTGAGCTGGGGTGCAAAGGAAGGGGCTGGGAGGGCGGAAGAACAGAGGAGCAGGCGTGGCCAGTGGTGGACGGGCGGAGTGATGGAGATGGGGAGTGTGGGGTGCCGGAGTGCGCGGGGATGAGGGTGCAGGGTGCCGGGGTCAATCTCCGGAAGTCTAGGGTGCTAGTCTCATGGTCTGGGATAGAGTGGAGACAGGGTGCGGTGGAGGATTCTGGGCCTGGAGTCCATGCAGCGCATAGAGGAAGCAGATCCCTGGAGGCGGGCGTAGGTGGAATGCACCAGCTGGAGTCCTCCAAGCCCGGGAGCAGCTGGCAGAACCCCACACCCCCCAGCTGAGCTCCTCAAGGCTGCGGCTGATTAACCTGCTTTCCTTTCCCTACATGTTCCTAGAGGGTTTTTTGTTTGTTTTTCCTGAATCGATAGTGATGGGTGGGTCGCCCTTTTGGTGAGTGATCAGTAAAACCCCTAAAATGCCATCCCCGACCCCAGAAGCTCCCAGTGGCCTCCCCTCCAACGCTCTGCACGCAGCTCCTGGCGGCTTATTGCTGAAGAGGGGGTCTGGGAGGCATGCAAACTGGAGTGGGTGCCCCAAGATGGAATCAGCTTTTAGTTATTTACAGGAGTCGATGGGAGGGGTGTCCTATGGCTCATGGAGACCTGAGGTTTTCTTTTTTTTTTTTTTCCTTTTTTTTTTCTGAGAGGGGAGAGAGTTGGGGGAGAACAGGCTCCGGCCCCGCCCCCTGTATCCTGGGGTTCTCTAGTATGTGGGGAGTGAGGCCGGGGGTGTCTGCTGGCATCGTCATCTCTTTTGCATATTATTAATGACATTTTTTAAAGGACCCCTTCCCCACCCCCCACTCCCAGCGCCTTTAGACCTTCCCATCACCCCCAGTCCCCCCACAGGGGGGAGGGAAGCGCTAGAGGATGGAGGGCAAGGTTGGGGGAGCTCGGCGCGTGGCCCGGGGCGAGCCAGGGGGAGTGGCGAGGGGCGCGAGGCGCAGGGACACCCCGCTCAGGCCCACAATGCTGCTCAGGCTGCGGGACTTCTCGTAACCTGGGGAAGGAGCAGAGACAAGGGAGGGAGGGGATGGGAGCCAGGGTGAGGGTACACAGAGACCCCAAACAGGGACGCAGAGACAGAAAGGGGTAGAAAGGGGAGAAACACCCATAGGCGGGATGGGCGGGCCGAGGAGATGGAGAGAGAGGTGAAGAAATCGCAGAGTCAGTCAGCATCCACAAAAAAGGTGCAGACACAGGGAAGGGGAGACAGGGTTAGGAGGCCGGTGGTGCCCACTAGTCTCCCCACCCAGCCTGCCCTCCCTCTTCTCCCCCTCCCCACCGTCCCCTGGTCTGAGGCCCAAAGGCAGCAGTTGGCGAGGTGGGATGGTGGGCGGCTGGGGTGGAGGTAGCAGCTGGTGGAAGGGGGCTGTGCAGGGGCGGGGCCTGCTGCGGGGGGGAGGGAGGAGATTCCCTGGGACCTTGTGATAAGAGCTCACTGTGTAGCCCAGGCTGACCTCGATCTCACTACTTAGCCTAGGCTGACTTCAAATTCAGTAGATAGGTAGCCTTGGACATCTATCTCTTAAGAGTCCAGGACATGGGATGAGGTGAAGGATTCCAAAATTGGATGGGGTCTGCTGGTGACAGGAAGCAGTAAGGTCACACAGCTAATGGGATCACACATTAGGACCATTCGGGTGGGTGGGGTTTTTTTTTGTTTTTGTTTTTTCTCTGCCAGCATCAGGGATGACTTCTAAGCATCCCAGGCTGGGAACTGGTACTCTGACTGTAGAAAGGCGTGTCTGGAGTTGGGAGGACAGAAGCCCAGTGTCTCAGGGACACCCCCTCCCACCATTCCCGATTGCTAACCTGGGGGGAAGGGACAGGGGGACCCCGAGGGTCTCGCGAGGTCTCAGGCGGTGACAAGAGCTGGGGACAGAAATACAGAGAGTCAAGGATGGGGAATGGGAGGCAGATGGGGGTCCCCAACGCAGGCTCTGTTGGGGGACGGAGAAGCGCCTGGGTGTCTTCCTCCTCTCTGGTGTTTTTCAGGGGGTGATGGGAGCGGTGAAATGGGGGCAGCCAGAGACATCAAATATGGGAGGAGCTTCCGGGGTGGCTAGGGAAGGGGAGGACCAAGGGTGGGAGGAATGGGATTGGGTATGGGATCAGGAGGTCAGAGGACAGGCTAGGAAAGGGGAAGATCTTGGGGCAGAGGCAGGTCAGTAGAGGGACACTAGGGCAGAGAATTCAGCCAGCCCATCAGCTCCGGCCATCATTTGAGTTCATTGAATGGATTTTGGTATCATATGCAAGAAAAGCGAGGGCCTCACCCACCCCGCTGGGATCCCCGACCTTCATACACACTCTGCTCTACCCTCCATCCCACCAGGAGTCCCTCAACAAAGGGGTAAGGGGTACGGGTCTAGGCTGGGGGGATGGGAGGAAGGGGGAGGGAGTGATGAGATGGACATGGAAGGGGACGGGCATGTAGGAGAGACACGCAGGCCCCCCTGGGCTAGGAGCCTGAGGCCTAGGTTCTCACGCCTGTCTGCTGCCAGCTGGCACTCCACGGGGTCTTTGGAGCATGGGGGCTGTAGCCTTAGGCTGAGAGCAATGATTCTTCGTGTGTTTATATTTCTAAAGATGCTGTGTTTCTAGAGTGAGAAGGTGGCAGACAGCAACTTCTCATCATGTGTGAGGCAGGAGCGAGCATCACCCACCGCTGATGCTCTTGGGCCCCTCTCCCATTCAGCCATGCCACCCTTCCTTTTTTGCAGTATAGGAAGCAGGACTTGGATGTGCTAAAGCAGGCGCTCCACCACTGGGGGATTCTAGGCAGGAGCTTTACAACCAAGGTGCAAACCCAGCCTCCCCGAAGCCTTTTCTGCATGCCAGGGCTTGTGCCCTTGGCCTTTGTCTGCCTGGTTGGTCCTTTTCATCCTCAGGTCTCATGTCACTGTCTCAGACAGGTTTCCCAGAGTTGGCTGTGGCGGTGCCCACCCACAATCATAGAATGCAACAGCTACCTCTGCTGTGTAAGACATCACCTCAAGCTGGTGGTAGGGGCGCACGCCTTTAATCCCAGCACTCGGGAGGCAGAGGCAGGCGGATCTCTGTGAGCTCAAGGCCAGCCTGGTCTACAGAGTAAATTCTAGGACAAGCTCCAAAGCTACATAGAGAAACCCTGTCTTGAAAACCCACCTAAAAAATCACCCCAAGGTGTAGCTAAAACGAGAAATTGTGGGGTGAGGTCAGGGAAGGATTATTTTCTAGCCCAGGCTAGCTTCACAATCCCTTTGCCCCAGCATCCAAGTGCTGTGATTACAGGTGTGACCCGGCATCCAAGTGCTGTGATTACAGGTGTGACCCGGCATCCAAGTGCTGTGATTACAGGTGTGACCCGGCATCCAAGTGCTGTGATTACAGGTGTGACCCGGCATCCAAGTGCTGTGATTACAGGTGTGACCTGGCATCCAAGTGCTGTGATTACAGGTGTGACCTGGCATCCAAGTGCTGTGATTACAGGTGTGACCTGGCATCCAAGTGCTGTGATTACAGGTGTGACCTAGCATCCAAGTGCTGTGATTACAGGTGTGCCCAGCATGTTTGGCGTTTCCTATCCCTCTTGACTGACCTTTCATCTCCACAGACCAGGTCCCTAGATTCCCATCTGGCTTCCTTCCAGCCTCATGATCTGCTCCATTCATCCATCTCCTGGCTTCTAACATGGCCCTGCTTTCCTCGTTCTCGTGTCCCTGCCTCTCCTGATAGGTCTAAATCTGTTTTCTACTTGGTCATCAGAAAGCCCCTGGGGAACTGAAGCCCCTGGGGAACTAAGTCTTCTCAGATTGAACCCAGTTCTTAAAGTCAGGGAGAGGTCGCCTGGCTCACTCCACCCTGCACTTAGTGTCCAGGCACGTAACCTACATTAGCGACTGGATAAAAAATGCCCAGAAAGAGATGTGGACAGGTGAGGGTGGGGTCAGCGGTGGGGAGGGGTGGGTTGAGCAGGTCAGAGGTGGAGTTGGGACTAGGTTAGTTCTGGAGTATTAGTGAGGACTAGGTGAGTCCTGGGGTGATGGTGGGGTCACTGTCAGGACCTGGGCACAACTGCCCACCATGGGTGAGGGTCTCGGTCAGTAGGCGAGCATGTTCTCAGAGAGGTTAGTTGGAGGTACAGAAGGAAGGGGAGTCAGAGGGGCCATGGTGGGGAACTACTTACCCTAGGGGGAGGGGGCTCGTCCACTAGGGGGATATCCAGGCTGCTGCGTTGGCGTTGAGGTCGGGCAAGAAGCTCGGGGGGCCTGGCTTACGCCAGTATGGGGGGGGCAGTGGGGGAGCACCAGTGGCTGGGGGTGAGGGAAGAGGCCGGAAAGTCAGGGTGGGTGGGGAAATGGAGATGAAATAAAGACAGGTGAGGAGACTTGGGGCTCAAGGTGAAGGAGGAGGATAGGGAAGGAGGCGGTTTGGGGCTGAGGGCTAAACGGAGGGAAGTCCAGCACCTCCCCCATCCCCGCCCCTCCCTCCCCTGGGCTGGGGAGAAAGGAAGGGCCTCAGGGGAGCCCCTGGAGGGCACCTCACCTTTTCGGATGGATCCATCAGGGGAAGGGGCATAGTCAGTGACAAGGAAGCAGGCTCGGTCCCGGCTGTAGCGACCCCGGCTTCCGGGAGTGATCGGGCTCTTGTCTTCTGGAGACATGGCTGGTTGGTCGATGGCAGGGCAGTCCTCATGGGCCAGTGCAGCTGCTGCAGGGTCCCCATTGGGACGGGGGTCTACTGCAAGGTGAGGGGTCACAGAGAGAGGACAGAAACTGAAGGGAAAAGATGGCAGGGGAAGCACTGGAGGACGGGTATTGTAGTGACCCCGGGTTCAGGGTTGCTGGGAAGGTGGGGCGTGGGAGGGCAAATGGACTGAGAGTGTGGACAGGGGCCAGCTGAGGGTCAGGGCAAGCGAGAGAAAGCGGCAGTCGGGCCTTGTGTGAATATGCGGGTGTCTGGACTTGGTACGGAAGGGTGGCTGGGGCTGCTGGGGTCGCTGTGGGCCGCGTGCTCACCTATCATCCCGTCACTCGGGAGGCTGAGGCAGGAAGATTCTGAGTTTGAGGCCAGCCTGGGCTGCATAGTGCGGTGGTTACTGGGCATGGCCAGCATTGAGGTGGGGAGCACTGGCAGGGGCAGGGAGGGTGTCGGGGTTGTGAAGTGACTTAGGGACAGGTGCTGCAAAGGGCAGGGTGGGGAAGGGCTGGGAAGGTGACAGGGAGGGCGGGGGGAGGTGGGGGTCCCCCAGGCTCTGACTTGAGCTATTTTTAATGGATGGGAAACTGGGCCAGTGGCTAAGGGACAAGATGGGGGCCGGGCAGACTAGCTCATTTTCTTGACCTACTTAAGGCCTGGGGGGGGGGCTCACCTCCTTCCTCCAGGACACCCAAGTCACTGCCTGCAAGAAAGAGTCCCCCAGGACACCCGCAACACGAAACATCAGGCACAGCCACCAGTTTTCTCATCTCCTCCCTCCGCTACTTGGCCTGACTTCTTATTTAAACAAATTCTTTTGAGACAGAGTCTTGCTTTATAGCCCAGGCTGGCTTTGAACTCACTTCATCCTTCGGCCTCAGCCCCCCAAATGCGGGATAGCAGGCGTGCTCAACTAGACCTGGCTGGCTCTTCTCGTAGGGAGAACTCTCTGGGACACTCTGGGGATCCCGTTTTTCATGCTGTTCTCTGCAGATCCTGCCTGGCAGAGCCCTCTTAGCTTTGGCCCTTGGTGTTTGCTGGTTTCTTCCTTTAGCCTGCAGGTGGGTCCTGAACTCTCTGCTGCTGACTGCCCACTCCATTTGTCTCCTTCTTAAATGATGGTGGTAATGGCAGACCAACCGTGTTAGCTTCCCAGCTCTGGCCCTCGGGACAGCCTGCCAGGTACATGCTGTGACATACGCAGGCCTGTCCCCAGCCTTCCTAGCAGTCATGTGAGACTCCTGTGTTTTACACTGAGAGCCTTTCTTTTTGAGACAGGGTCTTATGTAGCTCAGACCAACCTCGAACTCCTGACTTTCCTGTCTCTTCCTCCTCAGTACTGGGGTTACCAGACTGCATCGCCATACCTGGCTCTCATCCCTTTCTCTCTTCCCTTTTCTTCTCGAATAGAAACAGGAGTGTCTGTTTCTTAAGAAACTGTCTCTAAGAATGGGAGTGGACTAGTGGCCCAGGAAGCCATTCAAAGCTTTTGTTGTTCTTGTGTTTTGTATGTATGTAGCCCAGGGCAGCCACAAACATGGTGACCCCCTGCCTCAGCCTCCGGTGTTGGAATTGTAAGGGAGTGCCACCGAGCCCTGCTCATCCTCTCTTTCCCCTCCGGTCCTAACTCCTTTCCTTCCTTTTCCCTTCTTTTTATTTTTCCCCATGATATTTGAGACAGGGACATGTAGCTCAGGCTAGCCTTGAACTCCTGATCCTCCTACCTCTACCTCCCAAGTATGAGAGGTACCAAATGCCACCAAGGGATGAGAGGCATGCACCACCACGGCTGGGTTTCCAAGTCTCTTTCTACGAACACCATCCCTATGTGGCTCCTGCCCAGGGGCCTCTCAGAGCAGCCTGCTTGCAAATTGCACATGGAGGCCTGTCGATGGCTCCTTCCGCCTCCTCTCTAGCCTTCTAGGCATCTGTTTTCTCGGTCTGCTGTCGCCTTCTACCCCACTCTGCCTGACCCTAAGACACCTTGCCGCTGCAATGCAACCCGCCTTCCCCCAAGGCCTCCCCACAATCCCAGTCCTGGCCCCAGTCTTACCTGCCCTGTTGGTTTCAATCACCTCTTCTTGAGCCAGTGGGCAGGGCTCACCAGGGGCTGGCAGGGGAGGCAATCCCATGATGCCCAGTCCCCCAGCACCACCCCTGAGCAGCCCGGGGTGCGTGTGGGGTCCAGGTGGGTAGGCCCCAGCCACCGTCACCCCCATGGAGGGAGGGGTGATGGGCGGTGGTGGGCTGATGCCACCGCTGCCGTGGTGGGGATGTGGTGGGGGTGGAGGCGGGGGGTCAGGCTTACAGTAGTTGGGTGAGCCAGGCTGTGGAGGCCTGGGGATGTGTTTGTTTTTCTTCTTTGGCAATTTCTGCTTGGCCATAGCCAGTGAATAGTACATGCCGAAGTTGTTCACGATGACGGGCACCGGCATGGCAATGGTCAGCACTCCTGCCAGAGCACACAATGCTCCCACCAGCATCCCAGACCACGTCTTGGGATACATGTCTCCATAGCCCAGGGTGGTCATGGTGACCACGGCCCACCAGAAGCCGATGGGGATGTTCTTGAAGTAGGTGTGATTGGAGCCCAGGATGTCATCAGGGTCGGCACCAATGCGTTCAGCATAGTAGATCATGGTGGCAAAGATGAGCACACCCAGAGCCAGGAAGATGATGAGCAGCAGGAACTCGTTGGTGCTGGCACGCAGCGTGTGGCCCAGGACCCGCAGGCCCACGAAGTGGCGGGTCAGCTTGAAGATGCGCAGGATGCGCACGAAGCGGACGACGCGCAGGAAGCCCAGAACGTCCTTGGCGGCTTTGGAGGACAGGCCGCTGAGGCCCACCTCCAGGTAGAAGGGCAGGATGGCCACACAGTCGATGATGTTGAGGCTGCTTTTGAGGAACTCCACCTTATCCGGGCAGAAGGTGACACGCATGAGGAACTCGAAGGTGAACCAAACCACGCACACGCCTTCCACATAGGTCAAGAAGGGCTCCGTCTCCACCTCCACGTTGGTGATGTTCTCCGGGGGAGCCCCGGGGATGGGAGAAGCCTGCGTCACCGTCTTGTTGCTGATGTGGATGAAGCCCTCGTGGGTCTCCAGGCAGAAGGTGGTGATGGAGATGAGGATGAAGAAGAGGGACGCAAAGGCCACATACTGCAGGGGGATGGGAGAGGATGGCGTGACCAACGCGTTTCCATCGCTGGAGTATAAAGCCCCGGGGTCTCCCACTCCCCACTTCAGGGCCTAAATCCCATGTGAATCCAAGTGTTCCCACTTAACAGTTCTGCCACTTCTAGCAACCCATTCTGAGGAAGGAACAGAGGCGGGGTGGGGGGGCTTCAGAGGTGGGGAGGGGGTTGTGCTTGCTGGGAAAGAGCACTTGCTGGGTTCCAGACCAGGACCCAAACATTGATTTGGGGATGGGCATGAGAGGGACTACCACATTGCCCATATCTCAGAGGTCTGGGATTCAACCTGGAGTTGGGCAAGGGAGAGGGCAGGGGGAACACAGGATTTTATTTCTGTGGCACTGGGGATGCAGCCCACAGCCTTATGCAAGCTAGCTAAGCACTCTCTCCCTGAGATACACCCCCAGCCCTGTTTCTCTTATTCTGAGACAGGGTCTCATTAATTGATGAGGCTGGCCTTGAACTTACAGTCCTCCTGCCTCCCCAGCAGCTGGGATGACAGACCTGCATGCCACTAGACCCATCTCAAAAGCCTGGGTTTGAATTTATCAAACTGGAGCAAGGGTTAAGCTTTCTGGATCTGAATTTTGTTTTTAATGGAATTGTTATGAAGATTTGGTGAGTGTACAGAGGGCTCGCTTCCAAAAACAGTGCTTGGCTGAGTGCCTGGAACACAGTGAGATCTGAGCTGTTACTAGGGTACAGTGGACCAGTTAGCTGGGGCAAGGATGAGGGGGTCAGAGGATGCTAGACCTGAGGACCCCAGTGCAAGTGTCCACTGACAACAGAGACGGGGTAGTTCAGGGATGGCACGCAACAATGGATGTGGGGGAGCATGAAGGGGGGAGGCGGAGAAGCCTGTGGAAGGGGAGGGTCACAGTTCTGCAGAGGAAAATCCAGGGGCCTTTGGGTCAAAGTCCAGTAACTGGGGGTGAGTAGCTTATGCTTTGTCACAGCGGGGGTGACCCTACACAGTGAGAAAAGGGGGGGGGGCTGGATCAGGATCTGGAAGCTGGGATGGCTGTTTCGTAAGATGGGGAAGGGGTTGGAAAGAGAAGGGTACTGTAGGAGAAACACCTCAAGCAAAGGAGGCCAAGTGGGCTGATCCAAAGTGGGAAGCACCGAGAGCCTTGTGGGTGTGGAGGGTTATGGTCCTGGAGAGGTGAATTCAGGGTCCTGAACTATAACTGAGGGCTGAGTAGGCCCTGGGCCTTAGGGTAGCTGGGAGAGTGGTCAGTAGTGGTCAGTCAGACCACAGATTTGATTTCTCTGCAGTGGAGAAGAGGCCAGAGGTCTCCGCAGAGCGCATGCCCAGGGCCTCCCCGCCCCCAACCAGCAGGCTGCGGTACTGCAGTGGGGGCGGGCCGGCCCGGCCCGGAGCAGGGAGCGCGGCGGCCAGTACCACGGACAGCTCCCCCGCCGCAGTGCGCAGCCGCAGTGGCCTGGTGGCCTTCTTAACTCCTTCCAGGCAGAAGCGCTGCAAGTCGGCGCGCAGCCGCAGTACCTATGGCTTCAAGGCTTCTCAGTTAAAGGCCATTGGGCCTATAATTTGCCTAACCCCTTCCCTCCCAGGAGCCCAAGGAAGGGTGGGCACCCGTTGCAATGCACAGGTGGAGGATTGGTTTCCCCTGAAGTGACTCCAAAGCAGAAGGCATGGGAGGGTGCCAAGGCTCTATAAAGGAAGCAAAGTAGTTCCGGGACGGCTGGACCCTGAGCTTGAAGGTGGTTTGCATTCCCAACTTGCAAGAAGATCCACCTGGAAGTTGGAAAGTACCCGGCACACAGCGAACATTCAAATAAATAATAAATAAATAGATCGGTTCTGAGTGGCCTTCGTAGTTATTCTGGACCCCTAGTCTGACCCTCACCCAAAGACTTCCTCTCTGTCTCAGCTCCCTTCAATAGGGTCACAGGAAGGAAGGGCGCCCCAAGCCACAGAGTGGGGGAGAAGATGATCGGAGGGAGACCCGAAGGAGCATCTGGGGCCATGTCCCTCCTACCTCTTTCCTCCCCCTTCCCCTCAACTCAACCCCAAATGTGGCCAATTCAGCGCTTCTCAGGCACTAAAACTTTATGCGAATCCTCCGGTCGTGTCCCCGCCCCCCCGCGCCCCCACCAGCACGAATGCGGCACTGCGGCTCTGCGTCCTTCCCGGCCCAGGACGCGGCACGGGGGTGGGGGGTTGGGGAGGAGTGGCTCTCTGTTCCTCACTTTCGCTAGTGCCCTCTCTTCTTGAATTTACCCCCCTTGCTATTTCCGCGCACTCTCCTCCTCCAGGGTCTCCCGACCCGGAGGAAGTTTAGAAAGGGGTTAAAGCTCTGGCCAGAGCTATCAAAAGGGTATCCAAAAAGCCTGGGACGTTACTGGGGCTTACAAACTTTTCCAGGAGAGACCTCTGAGGGAATTTGGTAGTTTCTAGGGTTCTGGGTTTACATCGGGGGGGGCAAATAGAGGAGAGACGGTAGGGGGAGCTTGAGAAGGGGGCACAAGGCCGAGAGAGGAGAACCCACCGGGTTGAGCTGTCCCTAGAGGGTATGGAGTGGGAACTAAAACCATCTGAGGAGTTTCTGGGTTGACTTGGAGGTGAGTAGCAGGAGACAAGTCTCTAGATTTGAGGGGACTCAAACTTCTGAAAGTCACTTGGCATTAAGAGAGTAACTGCGGAGGGAGGAAATGGGAAGGGATCCCCGAGGGTACAGTTGGAGGGAAGGGCTGTGCTGCAAACTGTGGGCGACCCGTGGTGAGGACACACACTGGGGTGCTGGAGAGGAGAGGTGTAGCATGGGGTCCTTTTGGAGACACAAGAGGGGTTGGTTCTGACAGCGGGAAGTCTGAGCTCTGGGGGAAGTCCTTTGCAGGGGGCTGGTGAAGAGGGTGAAGGAGGAATCTGGGAGGGGAATTTCAAAAGGACCCCCCCTCCGGACTCAACGTTGCAGCTAGGTCGTGGGGAAACTGTCCTGACTGAAAGCAATAGTTTGGAGGTTCAGTGAGGCCCTAAAGGTTCGGTAGGGGCGGGGATCTTTGAGAACTTTGAAAGCTAAGAGCAGATCACAAACAGCCAGGTCTAAAGTCAGAGAGAAAAAGAGATCTAGGAATTGGGCCCGGGGAGGGGGGGCAAAGAGGGAGAGTTGGAGAGGGGACTTCAGAGGGTCTGGGGGCGACAACGACACGGGAGGCGGTGTTTCTTAGACCTAGGGAGGGCATCGAGGACCAGGCATAAGTAAGTGGCTTCGGGGTGTGCAAGGGTCAGCGAGTTGAGTTTGGAGAGGCTGAGGACATTCTGTGGGCCTGAGACGTCCTGAAGGTCTCGGAAGGTGCGTGGGAAAGGCGGGGGTGAGGCTGTCAAGGAAGTCCAGGAGGTTTCGGTTAGGGGCCATTTCCAGGATCTACGATGACTTGGAGCAGTGGGTTGGGGTTTGGAAAGGCCGGGAAACGCTGAAGGTTCGGTAGGGGTGTGCTTGCAGGGGCGCAGGGAACTCCAGCTGCTGGAGTTCCAGAGGCCTGAGGAGCCCGGGGGGTCGGGGGTAAACTTGGGATGAAGGGCTCTGGGAGAGAGGGGTTGGGATAGTTTAGGGTGCTCGGAGAGCGCGCTCACCCTGGCGGCCCGCGACGAGTAGGGGTCCTCGAAAAGCGCCCACACGCGGGGCTGCCAGCGCCGCCACCACGTGCCGCCCGCGCCTCCCGCGCCCCCGGCAGGTCCCCCGGCGCCTCCGCCCGCGTCCTGGAAGCACAGGCGCTTGAGTTCACCGCCTGCTCCGTCCAGCCCGCCACCTCCGGCGCCTGCCTCGTCGTCCAGGCCTGCATCGTGGGCGCCTCCGGCGTTGGAGGCGTTGGCGGCGCCCGAGGAGTCCGGGGCCTCGAAGGAGTCGAGTGCCTCCTCTGCGTCGCGGTGCTGGCGGTAGGTCATCCAGCAGCAGGCCTCCACGTCCGTCTCGTCGATGCCCCAGAAGCCTAGCTCCTCCTCGAAGAGAGGACCGCACACGTCGGCCGGGCAGTGCAGCTTGCCGGTGCGGTAGTAGTTGAGTACGTAGGCGAAGACACCCGGGTGGCGGTCAAAGAAGAACTCGTCCGTACCCGGATCGTAGTCGAAGCGCGCGGCCGCCTCGGGCTCGGTCAGCCCGGCCAGCCGTGTCCCCGGCAGGGTGCGCAACGTGGAGCGGTACGTCTCATGGCGCACGCCGCCCACGTTGATCACGATCTTACCGCTGTCGCCGCCGCCGCCGCCGTGCCGCCCCATGGCCACCGCCGGCAGCCCGGGGCATGGCTCGGCGCGCCGGCCCCCGGGCCCGCGGGAAAGCGGAGCACCCGCCGGGCACGCGGCAGGGCCGGGCTGCGCGCACTGCTGATGCAGCGGCGGCGGCGGAGACTCGGGCGGCTGCGGCGTTGGTGCCGGCTGCGGTTGCTGCTCGCCGGCCTCCTGGCGCCCGCGGAAGGACCAAACGCACACTGAGCTCAGCATTGGACGGGGAGGCGGGGCTGGGGGGAGGCAGGATCTTAGGGGCGGGGTCCGGGTGGAAAGGCCAACGTGATTGGATGAGAGGAGACGATGAATGGATGAAGAGGGCGCGATTGGGTAGGTGCAGGGAGGACAAGAGCTGATTGGGCCGAGGGGCTGGGCGGGGTCACAGCTAGACGGACTCCGTACCCTAGCTGGAGGAGGTGGGGTTGCACAGAAGCCTCAGGGATTGGGTCGTACCTAGAAGAGGGCGGGGCGTCAAGGGAACCCTAAAAATGCCTAACTCAGCAGCACAGCGAAAATGGAGACCTAGGAGCCAGGTATGAGAGAGACAGGTGCGGTGGAGACAGGGGGGTCAGGAGTTCAAGGTCATGCTGCAGACTGAGATGGAGTCCAGCCTGGGTGACATGAAATTCTACCTCAAAAAAAAAAAATCGCAGTAGGAGAAACTGACAAAAAAAAAAACAAACAAACAAACTGGTAACTGGCCTAAAGTCTTGGTAGGCAGGACCTGTACTGGAAAAACAGATGAATAGGAAATGGTTTGGTTAGGTTAACAGTGATTGGAAACCCAGGAAATTAATAACAGTCGTTATTGGGCCTGGACACTGAGGGGAAGGGTCTCACTTGGGGTGGGAGGCAGACAGAGCTGAAGATGGAGATGGAACCTGATTTAAAAAACAAACAAACAAACAAACGGACAGGAGACAGGCGACGGTAAGACACTGGGACAGTGGGGAGGGGTGGAAGAAGAGGCCTGGGATCTTCTGGGTGGGAACTAGGGAGGGGCCGAGACTGCAGGCTGAAGAGTTCAGAGAGGCGTTAGGTTTGCTACTCTGCCTCTGCCTCAGCCTCCCGGTAGCTGGGATGACAGACGTGCGCCATCAGGTCCTGCTGTGGGTTGCAAACTTGGACTTCGTTAGGAAGAGGGTCCGATGATGGATGGGAAGAGACAGGCAGATGGGTGGGATCTGTAAGGGGTTGGGAACGTCTTCAGTGGCCCAGAGGAAGATGAGACTAATAAGTGGATGGCGGAGTGGGGCGTTAAAAATGAGCATTCAGAGCTCCAGGAGCCGCCAGGCTGGTGAGATGGAGAACAGGAAATGAGGCACCTGTTAGGGGAAAGACATTTGCTTCGCTGGACACGGGGGTGGGGGCCAGGGCTGGAATGGAGAGATTCCGGGTCAGAGCCCACGAGGCCTTGAGGAAGGGTGAAAGTTTCCAGCCGGTGGAGGAAAGGGAATGAAGCCTAAACCACAGATATTGCGGACAGGGGCGCCAAGAGACGGGTAAAGGAGTGGGCGCTGGTACATGCACAGAGGAGAGCAGCGGGGAGAGCCGGCCACAGCTTCTCAGTCACTGGGGTAGGCGCTCCGCCCCCTGGGCGGTCCTAGGCGCGGGGCGGGAGGAGGCGCCTGCGAGAGCGGAGAGGACGGGTCAGGGGCTGCTGCGGTCGCTGGCTCGTCGCCTCCCTCTGCAGGCGCCACGCAGGTCCGTATTCTCATCCCAAGCCCCGTTCCCACTTAAGAGTCTGTCACTTTTTCTCCGTTGTCTCTGAGTGTTCCCCACCTGTCCCCACTACTCTGGGGATCTGGTTCCCTTTCTAAGTGTTCCTCGGGCTCTGCCTGTCTCTCTGTGAGGGTCTCGTCCTTTCTCTCTGGGGCTTTGGCCCCTCTCTGGTCTCAGTCCTTCTTTAGCTTTTGTCTCTCTCTAGGTCTCTATCTCTTACCCTCTGGGTCTATGCTCCCCCTCCCTGGGACTCTGCCCCTCTCCCTCTCTCTGGATCTCTGTCTGCCTCACTTTCTGAGGCTCCATCGCCCTCTCTCCTTGGGTCTTGGTTCCTCTCTGTTTTTGTCTCTGTCTCTCTGTGTGTCTCTGTCGCCCTCTTCTGCTGGGTCTTGGTTCCTCTGTCTCTGGGTCTCTGTTTTTGTCTCTTTCTGTCTGTCTCTCTGTGTGTCTCTGTCGCCCTCTCCTGCTGGGTCTTGGTTCCTCTGTCTCTGGGTCTCAGTCTGTCTCTCTGTGTGTCTCTGTCGCCCTCTCCTGCTGGGTCTTGGTTCTCCTCTGTCTCTGGGTCTCTGTCTCTCTCTGTGTGTCTCTGTCGCCCTCTCCTGCTGGGCCTTGGTTCCTCTCTGGTGTTGTCTCTGTCCTCTTCTGCTGGGTCTTGCTTGGTTCCTCTCTCTCTGGGTTCTCCATCTCAGTCTAACCCCCCATCTTGACAGCCATTGAGTCTGAGTCACTGTAGAGTTGCAGAAGTGGGACATGTCCCAGGAGTGAGCCCTCACCTGCCCTAGCCCTGAAGTCCCCATCCTCTGGAGCCTTCAAGACTCTGCTGGACCCACTAGGGTAGAAAATAGAAAGAGGGACTACCCACTGTGTACCCCTAATTCTGGCATGTTACAAAGAGAAGCAGTGACTTGCTGTGATGGGTGGGTCCCAGGTCAGCTGGGGGCAGGGTTGCAGGCTGGCCCAGGTCAGCTGGGGACAGGGTTGCAGGGTGGGTCCCAGGTCAGCTGGGGACAGGGTTGCAGGCTGGCCCAGGTCAGCTGGGGACAGGGTTTCAGGGTGGGTCCCAGGCCAGCTGGGGACAGGGTTGCAGGGTGGGTCCCAGGCCAGCTGGGGACAGGGTTGCAGGCTGGCCCAGGTCAGCTGGGGACAGGGTTGCAGGGTGGGTCCCAGGCCAGCTGGGGACAGGGTTGCAGGCTGGCCCAGGGTAGGGTGTGCATTAGGCGATGGAAGGATGGACTGGCAGAAGGGCCTAAGTCGCAATGCTCTGTCACACCTCACCTCTGCCCTGACTTTCTGTTACCAAATAAATCAGTGTTTTGTTTGTTCCCCAGAGGTCAGGAGTAGGAGTAAGGAGGAGAAAACAGAGAAGAGTATGGGGGTTAGAGGTGGGGATAGAGAGCAGGAAACAGTTTTCAAACTGTTTCAACTGTTTCATGGAGCCCTGGGAGACTTGGGTATCTTGTAAGGCCTGTTATGGAACATTTGTTTCACTGGACAAAGATGTGCTACATTTGTTTATACTGCATTTGTTTAATTGTGTAAAGATGTGCTACATTTGTTTATACTGCATTTGTTTAATTGTGTAAAGATGTGCTACATTTGTTTATACTGCATTTGTTTAATTGTGTAAAGATGTGTTACATTTGTTTCTGCTGCATTTGTTTAATTGTGTAAAGATGTGTTACATTTGTTTCTGCTGCATTTGTTTAATTGTGTAAAGATGTGTTATATTTGTTTCTGCTGCATTTGTTTAATTGTGTAAAGATATGTTGCTGTTTCACCTTTCCTGCCTAAGGAACCTGATCTAATAAAAAGCTGAACGGTCAGCCAAGCAGTGTTGGTGCACACCTTTAATACCCAGCACTGGGGAGGCAGAGGCAAGCGGACCTCTGTGAGTCTGAGACCAGCCTGGTCTACAAGAGCTAGTTCTAGGACAGCCTCCAAAGCCTGGAGAAATGGCTCAGAGGTTAAGAGCACTGACTGTTCTTCCAGAGGTCCTGAGTTCAATTCCCAGCAACCACATGGTGGCTCACAACCATCTACAATTCAATCTGGTGCCCTCTTCTGGTATGTAGGCAGAACACTGTATATGTAATAAATAAATCTTAAAAAAAGAAAAGCTGAACAGCCAATAGCTAGGCAGTAGAGGGGAAGGCAGGGCTGGCGAGCAGAGAGAATAAGTAGGAGGAGGAGTCTAGGCTTGGGGAAGAAGAGGGGAGAGAATGAGGGAGAAAGAGGGGGAGACACCAGGGACAGACACAGAGGCAGCAGGAATGATGGAAATACAGAATGAAAGAAAGGGAAAAAGCCTTGAGGCAAAAAGTGGACGAAGAGAAACAGGTTAGACTAAGTTCTAAGAGCTAGTGGGCCGAACATAAGCTGAGGCCAAGCACTCATAACTAATATTAAGTCTCCGTGTCATGATTAGGGTGCTGGTTGTTGGCCCGAGACAAGGCCTCCCACACTCCCCAGGGCAGGGGGAGAGGGGCTGGTCGGGAGAGAATCACTACCTTTGACCATAGACTGGATGGAGCATTCAGAGGGGAACAGAATGAGGAAATGCATGAAGGGTGTCTGACCCCTTCTCGAAACTCTTTTCTCAGTCCGGGTCCACCTCGCCCATCCCCATCCTTTCCCCCAGACTCCCTCTGTCTTCCCCGGCATCCCCTCCTGCTGTCCCATCCCTAGAGACCAGTCTCCTCCTCCTGAACTTCTAAGATTACTCTTTGCTCCGCCTCTTACCTCCCATCCATCACTGCAAAATCCAGTGAAGCCAAGACTGAGGACAGACATTCCCCGCTTATTCTTCACACGCTACTACACACCCCACCCCACCCCGGCACACAATGGCAGTCAGGTGAGTCTCCGAGTTTGAGGCCAGCCTTTTCTACAGAGTGAGTTCCAGGCCAGCCAGGGCTGCACAGAGTAATCCTGTCTCGAAAAAAAAACAAAAGCAACCAACCGTACAATAAATAAATAAATAAATAAATAAATCCATAAATCCCACGCAGGTACTTGCCACCTTCCCCAGGCTAACCCCAGGTGACCCTTCCCTGAAATCTTTGGCTCCCTGTCTCACAAGCTGAGTGTAGACTGTCTTCCCACCCCCCAGAACTCGAGCCTCTTCCCCCTTCCTCATGCTCACCCCAAGTCTAGGGATCTGGCGGTTGGGGAGGGGTGACCGGGATCGGGCAGCGAGGGACTGCGGAGGGACAGCCCCTGCTCCCCACAAAGTGCGCCTTTATGACAGATCCAGGGGCCCTGGAATCCCCAGGGAAATGTCGGACACACAAGGTCCGCAGGATGGTGACCTTCCTCGGTAGAATAAACCTTTCACTGATTTCACTCCCGCTGCCACCTGTTACCGCAACTTGTCGCCTCCCGCACTCCTGGCCGTGGCCGCCCTCGGCAGGATGCCAACAGGGAGAGAACTACAAAACCCGTGATGCTCCGCGGTGCCCGGGCCTTTGCCTACGGGCAGTGGGGGCCAGAGGCTTCATGGGGATTGTTGTTCCCGGACCTATCGCTGGCGCGCAGACTGCAGAATAGGATGCTTCTCTTCCCTCCCATCTTTTCCTCAACTCCAGAGGTCAGACATCCATTTTCCCTTCCAGAAAGTGACTACAGTGGGTTCCTTCAATTGAAAATGGATTTTTTTTTTAAATTGGAAAGAAGCACGGCCTCTGTGGCCCTGTGTGCATGTACCCTAACCAGAGCGTCCTCCGAGGAACTGCGCCTGCACAGCCCTTTTCCCTGCGGCTACAGTTGTACGAGACTGAGCACGCGCCAGACCCACGCGCGGGCCGACGTTTTTGTCCCCTCTGTCGAAGACGGCCACGTAGGGCCCCAGAAAGACGTCTCCGAGGATCCAGAGGGGTCCTGCAGGCTTCGGGATGTCCAAGGCCTGGAAGCCCAATAGGCAGAGGCCAACATCGCTCTTAAGAATCTGCAAGGTGACAACATGGAGGACATTGCATGTCACTGGGATCCGGGTTTGAGTGTCCCCTCTGCACCCAGAAGAGGACGAGGAGTGTTTCTAGCTAGGCATAGTGATCCCAGCGCTTGGGGGACTCAGGGAACAAGGCCAGCCTGGGCTGCATACTTAAACTCCACTTTTTAAAAAAGGAAAGAGAAGCCGAATGGTGGTGGCGCACGCCTTTAATCCCAGCACTCGGGAGGCAGAGGCAGGTGGATCTCTGTGAGTTTGAGGCCAGCCTGGTCTACAGAGCCAGTTCCAGGACAGTCTTCAAAACAATACTGAGAAACCCTGTCTCGAAAAACAAACAAAAACAAAAAACAAAAAAAAAAAAAAAAGGAGAGAGAGAGAAGAAAGGGGAGCTTTGAAATGGTTTAGCTGGTAAAGTTACTTGCTGCTAAGTGTATCGACCTAAGTTCAATCCTCAGACCCCCTCGATTCCTTCAAATTGTCTTCTGACTTTTACACACATGCTGGAGTCAGGTGCACACACCCAAAATAAATAAAATAAAAAAACGTTGTAAGGGAGAAAAGAAAGGCAAGGCTCAGGCTGGGTTAATCTGGCACAGGCTTTACCCAGCACTAGAGAAACAGGCAGGAGGATCTCGGAGTTTGAGGTCAGCCTGGTCTGTATCAGTAGTTCTGGGCCTGCCAAAGCTACACAGTGAGACCTCTCTGAAGAAAAAGCTCCCGTGCTGGTTCCCCAGCCCTGGGGGCTCGGTTTTGTCACTCTGATGTCACTCCGGCAGTCATCTTACCTTAATGACGTAGTCCTGGCCTGTGAGGTTAAACCAGACTCCACCGAGGTGGAAGGAGACAGGGGGGAGTTCTGGGATCTTGGAACACTGAATGAGGTACTGCGGAGGAAGAGACACAGTGAAATAGGCCGAGGTTACTGCTCTGCTCCAGTGTTTGGAGGCTCCCTAGTGCCTAGAGGACGGCCTCTATTGGGCGGGCAGGTGTTCCGGCCCTCCTGTAGAGAGGTCTTGTCGGGAGGCTTCTAGTAGTCAAACTCTACAGTTCTCTCCCCCACCCACCAGGGAAGCATGCTGGCTTCCTCCAGCTGCCTTCTGGCCCATCACTCGGACCTCCAGATCCCCCTGCCCTTCCTCATTTATGTCCTGGTAACCTGCTTTTATCCTTTAGGCAGCAGCTTCCCGCCCGAAGTCTGCCACCAAACCAAACCCAAGACCATCCTCAGCACACCCATCAGGACCAGGAGAGGTCCTCACCCCGGTCCTCACCCCAGGACCCCACCCTCAGCACACCCATCGGGACCAGGAGCCGTCCTCACCCCAGGACCCCACCCTCAGCACACCCATCGGGACCAGGAGAGGTCCTCACCCCAGGACCCCACCCTCAGCACACCCATCAGGACCAGGAGAGGTCCTCACCCCAGGACCCCACCCTCAGCACACCCATCAGGACCAGGAGAGGTCCTCACCCCAGGACCCCACCCTCAGCAC